TATTAATCAATATTTAAATTTTTAAAATGTCAAAAGTAAAAAATGCAGAATTAACAATAGTTTGAAAAGGTAAAACCTTGGGACTTAATTTCTATGAGGAGAATCTCCAAGTGCTAAAAATTCTACATTAAGTAGAAGGCCCAATTTTTAGTTCAAAAAATTTAAACGAAATATTAAATAAAAACAATCATATTTCTACTGATCAGCTAAAGAGAAACTCACAGAAGCAAGTGGCATTGAGGTTTCTAATAAATCAATTTGTAGGGACTTAACATTTATTCATGTGTTGGAGCTGTAAAACCCCTTTTACAGGAGTGTTAGGAAGTGTAAACGATGAATTCCGATTTACAATATTTTGACCAACTCATGTTTGGTGTAGAGATTATGATGTTGAAAATCTTTATCTTATTGGTAAAACATGGTGGTGGGCCTTAGCTAGCATAGAGTAGAAGATGAATCATAGGATTTAGAGGAAAATTTATTACCTTTAATTACAAATGAATTTAATAATCATGAGAAAAAAATTGTTTTCATAATCACCTGACCTCAACAAATGAGAACTGAATTGGAAGCTTGCTCTGATAGAGGAATGGTATAAATTCCATTAGAAAGGATAGGAACATGTATTTCTAACAATGGTGGCCAATTAGGCACTGAATTTTATTATTATTCAAAAAAGTATTTTTTTATTTTTTTCAATTGACTTGGATAAATAAAAAAATATAAATTTAAGCAACGTAAAATTTTATGTGTGATCGATCAAATATGTAAATTATAACATTTAAAAAATTTATCTACACTAGATATTAATACATATAAATTTATTTGAAATAGTAATACCAATTAATTTTCAATTATTTGAAATATTTCTAATTCATCATAGTTACTTTTTTGATTATGTCTTCTTATATTAATGTCATTATAAGAACTAATTCCATTAGCAAAAACAGTACTGTCTGGTGCAAAAAGAAGATCACAACCACAACCAAAAATAGCTAAATATGAATGATGACAGTAAATTGCATACTCATAACCATTGTTGACAACATAACTAAACTGTGCAGAATTAATGTCATTCCTATTATTAATGTTAAAAATAAAACTTTCAGTTGTATTTTTATATACATAATTTCCATTATTTAAATTCCAATTAAGTGGGTTATAACCTCCTATTAATTGATCTGAATTTTGTATTTTGCCAACTATAAGAGTTTTATTGATATTATCACATTTTTGATGAAAGGTAGCTACACTATTACCATCTCTACTACTACGATATATAAGTTTGAATTCATATTTAATGTCCTTTAATGAACTATATTGTGGACTTTTTCTATCAATCCAACTTGCAAAAAGTAAAATAAGATTTTGATTGATTGTTAATGATTCAAGTGTTGTTGACTTAATTCTTGATGGCAATAATTTTAAAACATGCTGTTGTGTATCAGGGACTAAATAATAAAGTAAAAGGTTATTCCAAAATAACTCTGGAAAAAGCTTTTGATATGGAAAAATTTTAGAGCAAAAATCCTCTTTAGAAATATCTTGGAATCTTATTAAGGGAATAAATTCTTTTAATGTGTTACCCATATCAACAAAATTTTGTGGTGACCAATTTTTAACTTCACTGTTATTGATTTCTGGATGTCTTGCTAATCCCCATTTAAAAATATTTTCCCAAATAATTATTTCATCAACTGAAAAATCATCTCTTTTAAGAACTTCCAATAGAATTGATTTTTCCAATGATTTAAATTCACTTGACTCAAATAATTGCTCACTATAATCACAAAATTTTTCTAAATAAGTATTTTTCAATTCCTTAACATTTTCGTTGGCATAAACCAATTGTAAAATTTTAACTGGATTTTCTTTTATGTAATTTTCATGATTTTTAATAAAGTATTTCATCATGTATTCATAAAGTGATTCAATTCCAAGCTGTTCTGCTGCAATTGTTAGTTCTAATACTTCAGCTCCAGAGTAATTTTCAAATTCAATTTTACATGTGTATAAGAATCTTTCAGCAATAAATAAATTATTAAATAAATTATCATTATTATTATATATTAATAATTAAATAAATAAATAATAATAAATGAATAATAAATTTATTTAAACCTACTTGAGAATAGGCTTGAAACATTTTTCACTAATATTAGCTTGCTTAACAATATAATAACCATTTTCTTTTACTGCATCACTTAATGCATTGCTAAAAAATGAACAATGAGCAGATATGATGGATGCATGTGCATGAACTTCTTTAATGTTTGGTTCTACACCAAGATATATTTTTACATCATAAAAATTTTCTGTATTTAATAATCTTTCATTTTCGTTGAAATATTTTTCTAAAAATGTTGAATCCATTTAATTTATTCTTTTAAAAAAAAATTGCAATTATATTTTTATTGTAGTATTAATGAGAATTGAGCAAAAATAAAATATTGCAACCTATGTATGACGTACTAGTAATAAACTGGTTTTATGACTTAATTTATAAAAATGAAAATTGTATAATAAATAATATCTAGAAAATTATCAATATTACTAATAGCATAACAATTTAAATTTTAAAATGCCAAAAACAAAAAACGCAGAATTAACAATAGTTGAATCATGAGTCTTAACCTAGTGGAATTTTAATAAGAGTCTCTATGGTACTAAAAATTCCATATAGTACTGTACTGACTACAGCCATAGTTACATCATGTAAAAATGGTGCAACAGGTATTCTTAACAATAACTTGTTATTTTGATGATGTTAAAAAATCAACAAAGTGAAAGGCCCAAAATTTTAGATTGAAAAAAATAAAATAGTATTGAGATTCCTATTAAAATAATTTGTAGGAACTTAATATTTATTCATGTCTGAGAAACAAAGTGAAAGATGTTTGAAATGGTATTATAGAATGGAAGTCAATGATATGAAGTGATGGATCTCAATTTACAATGTTTCAGCCAAACTCATGTTTGGCAAAGAGATGGGTGACATTATGATATTGAAAATCTTATCCCATTGGTAAAACATGCTGGTGGGGATGATGGTTTTTGTGGAAAGGGCTGAGCCCTTTAGTTAGTGTAGGTGGAGGGTGAATCATTAGAATTTTGGAGGGAATTTATTATGCTTCAGAATTGGAGACTGCTCTGAAAGAGAAAGGGTAGAAGTTTCCACTAGACCAGGTACTAAATTTTATTATTTATTTATTTTATTGAAAAAAAAAATACTAATTGATTTTCAAATTTCTCTATATATTGATTTAGATAAATAAAGGCTACATACCCTTCAAAACCTAAGCAACATAATGTTTATGGGTTTTTTATAAATATCTTCTGTGATCAAATACTTTTGTTCAGGTAGTGCATGTAAATAAAAAAAGTTATTATTATTGAGAAAAGAATTAGTAGACTTTAAAGTATATCAATTTTTAATTAAAAAAATTTAAATTTGTTGCTAAAAATTGTAAAATACAATAATATTATTTTTATTTTTTATCAATTATTTGAAATACTTCTAACTCATCATATTTACTATTATTTACTATATTAATGTTAGTATAAGAACTAATTAAAATAACACGAACAATATTTCCTGATCTAAAAATAAGATCACAACCACCACCACCACCAAAAGCAGCCAAATTTGAAGGATGACAGTAAATTGCATGCTCATAATCATTATTGGCAACATAACTAAACTGTGCAGAATTAATATCATTTCTATTATTAATATTGAAAATAAAACTTTCAGTTGTATTTTTATATATGGAATATCCATTATTTAAATTCCAATCAAGTGGATTATAACCTCCTACTAATTGATCTGAATTTTGTATTTTGCCAACTACAAGAGTTTTATTGATGTTATCACATTTTTGATGAAATGCAGCTACACTATTACCATCTCTACTATGATGATATATAAGTTTAAATTCATATTTAATTTCCTTTAATGAACTATATGGTGAACTTTTTCTATCAATCCAACTTGCAAAAAGTAAAGTAAGCTTTTGATTGATTGTCAGTGAATGAATTTTTGGAATCCTTGATGATAATAAACTCAATGTTTGTTGACTACCAGGAGCTAAATAATAAAGTAAAAGGTTATTCCAAAATAACTCTGGAAAAAGCTTTTGATATGGAAAAATTTTAAAACCAAAATCCTCTTTAGAAATATCTTGGAATCTTATTAAGGGAATAAATTCTTTTAATGTGTTACTCATATCAACAAAATTTTGTGATGACCAATTTTCAACTTTGCTGTTATTGATTTCTGGATGTCTTGCTAATCCCCATTTAAGAATATTTTCCCAAACAACTATTTCATCAATGTAAAAATCATCCCTTTTAAGAATTTCCAATAAAGTTGGTTTTTCAAATAATTTAAATTCACTTGACTGAAATAATTCTTCACTAAACTCACAAAATTTTTTTAGGAAGATGTTTTTCATTTCAATAAATTGATTGTTGGAATAAATGGATTGTAAAATTTTAACTGTATTTTCTTTTATGTAATCCTCATGTTTTTCAATAAAGTAGTTCATTGTATAATTGTAGAGTGACTCAAGACCAAGCTCATCAGCTGTAATTAATATTTGCAAAACATCAACTCCAGAATAATTATCTAACTCTATTTTACATGTGTACAAAAATCTTTCAAATAATTAAATGCTATTATTATAAATTCAATAATTAATTAATCTAATATAATAAATATAATAATAATTTCATTTAACTTACTTGAGAATAGGGACAAAAGATTTTTCACTAATATTAGCTTTTTCAATAATATAGTATCCATTTTCTTTTGTTGCATCACTTAATGCATTGCTAAAAAATGAACAATGAGCAGATATGATGGATGCATGTGCATGAACTTCTTTAATGTTTGGTTCTACACCAAGATATATTTTTACATCATAAAAATTTTCTGTATTTAATAATCTTTCATTTTCGTTGAAATATTTTTCTAAAAATGTTGAATCCATTTAATTTATTCTTTTAAAAAAAAATTGCAATTATATTTTTATTGTAGTATTAATGAGAATTGAGCAAAAATAAAATATTGCAACCTATGTATGACGTACTAGTAATAAACTGGTTTTATGACTTAATTTATAAAAATGAAAATTGTATAATAAATAATATCTAGAAAATTATCAATATTACTAATAGCATAACAATTTAAATTTTAAAATGCCAAAAACAAAAAACGCAGAATTAACAATAGTTGAATCATGAGTCTTAACCTAGTGGAATTTTAATAAGAGTCTCTATGGTACTAAAAATTCCATATAGTACTGTACTGACTACAGCCATAGTTACATCATGTAAAAATGGTGCAACAGGTATTCTTAACAATAACTTGTTATTTTGATGATGTTAAAAATCAACAAAGTGAAAGGCCCAAAATTTTAGATTGAAAAAAATAAAATAGTATTGAGATTCCTATTAAAACAATTTGTAGGAACTTCTATGAACTTAATATTTATTCATGTCTGAGTGTAACAAATTACTCCGAAGTCATGTGTAACATCGGGGTGGTACATAAATATTTACATTAGAAACGTGACACATTTATTATTATTATTTGTATTTCGTGTCTTTAATTATATTTATTATTATTATCTATGTCCACAAAATCTTCCGGATAGATTGATAAGAATCTTATGATTATTATTATTTATATTTTATTTATATTTTATCAATCTTATATTATTATTTATATTTTATCAATCTATGTAATTTTATATATAAAGGACATCATATTAAGATAATAAAGATTAACTTTGTAATTTTACAACAATTAAATTACTTATTTCGCTTTTAACATTGAACGTTTACAATTGCTTAGATAATGATCGATTTTTCTGGATTTCATGTGATGATATGAATATTAGTGAGTTAAAAAACCTTGAAATGGTTGAAACATTATTTGGAAGAAGACTACTTTATGAAGCTTTGAAGTATCATCTGAAAGGGTAAGATTTCACACATGTTGACTTGATCTATTTACAATAATGTAAATATGTTTACACTTATTTGATTATTTCTAGGATTAAAAATTTTGAAGAATTTTGTGAAATTATAGGAAAGGATTTGATCTCTCTACATGAAGTTTTGAAAACAATCTTAATTTACAAGCCAAGTGAAAAAACTTTCCCTCTCTTCATTATTAATATTGATGAGACAAATGCATTTTTTGAGAGAGATCAATCCAAAAATATCCGCAATCGCCAAATCAATTTCTAAATAAGGATAACACGCACCCAACCCACCAATAAAATTGGATATTTTCATGATGCTGCGCAAATTTGCGGATATTTTTGCGGAAACATACATGATTTTAATCCAAGTCACTTCAAGAACTTTTAAGAATCTTTATAAATCTCATTGTGTCAAATAATTTTATTTTTGTTATTTTAACAGGGACTCATGCAAGTTTTTTATTCAATTCAATTGCATCTTCTGATGCCTGTATTCAAGAAATATCATTACCATTACTAATTTCAGAACATGCACAAGAGGTGTTCTTAGATTTGGCAAATTGGGTAAGCTAAATTTTTGGCATTAAAACTTACTACTGATTGATCCAGTACTAATTCAAATAATATTTTTTTCATTTTAGAATCAAAAAAAGTGAGTATTGATTCATTGATTATGTATTTTATAAGACTTACAAGACTAAATATTTTATCACAAAAAGCAGGAAGATTAAGGAAATTTCTCCAAATCTAAAACATATAATCAATCTTCTTGGTGTTGTTGGTTGTTACCTAGAAATTATGATATTTGAAATGGCTATTATTGGCTTTAGTGCCAAGTCTAATAAAAATACACTTGCAACAAAATTTTATCACCAAGGATATTATCATTTTTTGGAATGTTGTTAATACAATTATGATTATTGTACAACACTCCTTGGAAGGGTAAAAGATAAATTAAGTAGATCTTATTCATGTTACTACAATGCATACACACTATCAGATAATATTGAAATTTTCCCTCAGTTAGTTGCATATACTTTATTTGGTTGAGAAGTTACTCAGACAACCACATTGGGAAAAAGAAAGATTGAAGTAAGATTTTGATGACTTACATACATGCTCTTAGATATAAATTATTTATTTGTTTTATGCTTTTCCCTATAGGATTTGGAAATGGATGAACTGATCTTCTTGAACAAAAAAGCTAGTACTTCCATTTCTCACTTTACAGCAAGTCTATCATAATTTAGATCAAAGCAAGCTACCAGCAATCAAACTTCTCCATTCTGTAGAAAATACACTTTCATCAGATGAAAAATGAGACATTGACATTATCAGTAATGGTTTTTTGTCTTTGGAGGTTATAGTGTAAGTCTATTAGTGATAAAAAAGTGACTGAAAGTCAAAGAGGGAAATGTAGACTTTCTGAATTGGTTCCATTGGAAGGACAATCAGATAAATATATTGAATTTGGACCTAAGTTTGTTGTGCATTCAACACCCTACAGAGTTGATAAAGACCATTGGAATCAATTTTTTAATGATTATTCTAAAGAATTTAAAGAAAGGTGTATTGCTTTCCACAACCTGCCAAATGCCTCCTTTTCAGATGGGATAATGATGACAAATCCACCTATATTTATCCAAGACAAGCAAGAAGTTATTAGTTGAAAAAAAGAAATTATTGGACATTCACCAAATATCCTGGGTAAAGGAGTTATAAAGTCTGAACATAAAAAGGTGTTAGATGCAAATGTTGGAGAGCATATCTTTATTTTTATCACTGGATGCTCATGCACATGATGATGAATCCTACGATTGTAATGAAATTGTGATAACATCATAAAATAGAAAGGATTTTTATGGAGATATTTTAGCAAATGAAACTGTATTGTATTGGACAAAGTTAGTTTGATTAATTTATATTTGACTTTAAGAATTTGAAAATTATTATTTTCCCTTTTACAAAGATAATTAATGCATATATGATTGCACATAATAAATATTTTAATATATGCCAAAAATTTACATGAATCACATTTTTATATATGGGGTGTGTTTAGTCAGTCCCCTGCCTTGATACAAAACTTTTGCTTGTGTGTGGGTGTGCTTACTGCTGCTCTTTGAAACTCAAACATTAGTTTGGAAAATTTTCAAAGCTCTTTGAAACTGGGGTAGACACTATTAAAAAACCTCTTAAAATTGGTTTCATATGGGTTAGAAAATGGCCAGGAGTTCAGAAAGGCAGTTCTAGGTGTGCCCTGATAAAACAGCAATCCAGGTTGCAATATCCCGAGTTGAGAATCTTGAATCAATTGCAGATTACAACTTTATGCTAGTAGGTGATAGGTGATAACACATGAATGCTGACTCTCATCAATAATCAATGCTCATTTGGTAACAGCCAAGCCTGGTCTGAAGAGAAGAAGTAGCCAAGTTTCAGGAAAAATCTGAAGAGTGATGTAAAAAGCAAAAACAGGAGTTATTAGATAAGGTACAGGGTTTAGAAGAAAGAATCAAACAACTAGAAGAGGAAAACAGGAAATTAAAAGATCAACAGAATGGTCAATTAACTGCTCAAATTGAAGTCAAAGAGACCAAAAGATGATCTTGATTGAAAATAAAAAAGTAATTGATAAATAGTGTAATAATTATGTAAATCTGTGTGTCAGAAAAATTTCCTGATGATATAAATAATTAATGTTATACAGGTTTGATGATCAAAGAACAATTCTTTTTTTAACCAAATGGGAAGATGTTGCTGGGTAAGTAGTGTTTATCATAAGGATGGTGGTGATTATTGCCACTTGTCATCACTTTAGTTAAATTATAAATACAGTAATCAAGATAATAGCAAGACTGAAAATGATGAAGTGGTATCTGTAGTGTGAGATAGTAAATCTTGGACCTATCAATTACCCGGCTAATATTGACCAATTAGAACGAACTTAATACGGAAGTCATGTGATGCGCTAAATATATTATTGTAACGGCTACGCCGCAGATTGCGCAGTGTCATATGAAAGACT